CTCGTCGGGATTGCTGAATTGGAGACGGCCTTGTTGGAAATTTTGTGAAGATGGCGGCACGGCGGGACACTGGCACACTGGATAAGGCACGGCTTAGCGTGGGAATGAGGGACGGCATGCAGGTCGTACCCCACCATCGAAAAACACAGCTCGCCCCGCCCACCTCACTAGGTACGTATCGCCTGTCGCTTCAGTGGAGTGGTGGACTGTGGTATGTGGTATGTGGAGGTCCTCGATTCTACTAGAAAAGTGCCTTAGGTAAGGCAGACTCTCTATATTACATATGCCCTGTGATTTACCCAGACGAGTCTGAGATTTAGTTCCATGCCGTGAGATGACTAGGCTTTGAAATGGCCATAGTATTTCTACCCATTCCGAAATACGACCAATCTTGGGATATCAGAAGCAGAAACCCAAGTATCTGGAGGCATTGCAGCCCTCGGTGTGAGTCTTTCGATGAAAGTTCCTAGGTACCATATAAGTGGCGTATCTGGTGCCTGGTTGGTGAGTCTTCGAGTCTGTAGTGAGTGCGGGGGCTCGCTTGTGACAGGAGATGAGGTAAGCAATGAGGACACCTACGGACCTCTGCACTCGAGCGTTAGTGCAAGTGCAATGTAGGAACTCGCGCACTTCGGAAGGCGGCCCCTCGGCTTGCATTCCACCGTTGTTCCATTTACACGGGACTGAAAACTGCGTCATGGGGTCCCTGAAAGCTGGAGCTCCCCATGCATGTTCACGTACAGCTGACTGGGGCCATCTGCGCCCTTCATTCATCCACCTGGACCTCCATACATATGAACGGCACTCTGTTCACTACGGATACTGTGCCTTGGGAAGCACCTGCTGATGGATACCAAGGCCACCTCGTGTTCTTTTACCGCGTATTTCCCTTTGATCCAGAACTGTCCACTCTCATGTAAGCCTCCCGTCCAGTACCTTACGGATACCTTGCCTTAAGGTACGCGGATAGGTACTTGCCGTAAGAGCGAATACCGCCAAAAGAGGAAGTACACGTTGTCCCTTTTGACAGTGCCAAGCAGCCAAAAACCCCACGACGTGTTGGATACTCATTCTTCCTAAGCTCGTCTTCCTTCGCTGAGCTTTACCTAAATACATACAAGATTCCCTCAACCCCCCCAAACCTTGTTCTCCCTCTCCCTCTTGACTTTCGTTCGGTATCTCTCACCTCATTCTCGCCGCCTTAACCCTGCACCATTGCTCCAGTCTGAAACCAGCATTCCTGGTTCCCGCCCAACCAGCTCCAAGCTCCCCCGAAACTGCCCTCCAAACCGGTCACTGCTCTCCCCGACAGTCGCTCACGTCCTCCCCAAAGGACTCCGGTGACGCAGGGCACTGATAAGTACCCGTCTGCTGCTGCCTCTGTCAAGTTGGCGCCCGCGATTCTTCGCTCCAGACAGGCTTGGGGACGACACTGCAGACCGCCGAACCTCCACGGCACATACACCAACACCTACATCACCGCAACTTCCCGCCGCTGCTGGGCATCCCGTCACACCTCCGCCGAATGGCACTCGGCCCACTCGCAGATCATGGCTCCCGGCGGCGCTGACCGCAAACCAGAAAAGTCCTACCTCTCCTCCGCTGTCGACTCAATCAACCCTTGGGCCGGCAGCCGGAGTTCAACACCGACGCCCAAGGATCCTCCTCCACAGCCCGTGCCCGTTCCGACCTCCCGCCCAGGCGATCACAGCATCACCCACTTATACGGCCAGAGCATCAAGACCTACCCCTCCGACTGCCCTCCTCTGAACGTCCTCTGGTACCACGCAACTGATGTGAGACTGCCCAGCACCAACATAACCACAACTGCTCATCGTCGTACTAATTCGATGTTGCCCAGGTTCCCAAGCGCAAACCCCAGTTCCTCCGAGACAAAGCGAAGCCTGCCGAAGATGCCAAGCCCCCAGTCCAGCCAAAGAAGTTTCTACCTTTTTCCAAGCTAGATTCTCGCGCAATCGAAACGGCATACCAACGTTTACTGGAGGATTCAGAGAAGCGAAGGGAGGAGCGATCGTTGCGCAACGTTTCGTCGGGCTCTAGACGTGGTCGCCAAAACACCGACGATGAGCGCGCCCACAGCAGCTTGGAGACGAGCCCCGAGGGTACCCAGGGCCCCAAAACACGCGTCCCCGTGAACGAGGACTACCTCTTTGATGTCGATATCGAAAATCGAGAGCTGGGCCCGGTCTACTGGCTGGGTCCTGTGTATGAAGTGCGGCGCGGCACCTGGTTCTACGATGAGGGATCGTCTTTGCGGCCATGTGAGGAGAACTTAGCTTCGCAGCTGGAGGAGGGCTATCTCAAGGTCAAGCCCTGGACATATCCCAAGCCGCGGGTTCGCAATGATCCGAAGAACAAGGACCCCAAAGCCAAGGATGTGACGCCCAAAGCGTCCGTCGAAAATCTCAAGGCCGCCGCGGCTACAACTCCCACGACCGACGGAAGTTTGAAGTCTCCGGGGCCACAAAACCAACACCAACCCTCTTCGCATCGCTTGTTTGGCGCCTGGATGAACAATATCGCGACATATCAAGATGCAGGCACGGCATGGCTCACATCAGACAGCATGCTTTCGTGGGTGACGTCCACCATGTACGAGAGATTCTCGGGTGGTGGTTACATGAGTGGTGTCAAGCTGGTCAGAGGCTATTCCGACGTGGCAAAGAACAAGAAACAACAAAAGCAGCCGGCGACGCCAACTGACCCTACCGCAACCCCTCAGCTGGATGAGAAACAGCAAAAACTGCTCAAGAGGAGGTCTGCGCCACCATCTTCCAGGCCATCGCAGTCAACCGACGACATCTCACTACTAGAAGAGGAAGATGACAGGGAAAATTCCCTTCAAAGACAAATCTCTTCGCTGATGGAGGGGGCCGAGCGTAACCGGGAGGAGCAGGAGGAGGAAATTCGCAAGAGAGAGGAGAAGGAAATAGAAAACGACTACAACGGCCAGCTTGGCGAAACCCAAGGGCGAGAAATCGAGCATCTTGTGTTAGTCACTCACGGCATCGGTCAGCTCCTCGGCATTCGGTAAGTCTCAAGATTGCGAAAGATGCCCACTTTAGACACTAACTTGAGCAGCATGGAGAGTGTGAATTTCGTTCACGATGTCAACATATTGCGAAAGAATATCAAATCAGTGTACTCCAGCTCTGCTGACCTGAGGGCACTAAACTCGGAGCTCGAAGATGGCCCTCGAAACTGCCGCGTACAGGTTTTGCCCGTGTGCTGGAGACATCTTCTCGATTTCCCCAAGAGGCGGGAAAAGAAAAAGGAGCAAGACATTGGTGACGGGGCTCAAGATGAGGACGAGTGTAAGTGAATTGCCTTAATTTCAGGAGACACGACTAATCATCCGAAAGACCCCTCCCTAGAGGACATCACCATTGAAGGTGTGGCGTTCGCCAGGTCTTTGATCTCCGACCTTGCACTAGACGTTCTGTTATACCAGAGTGCCTACCGAGAACAGATATCGGAGATTGTGTTGAAGGAGTCGAACCGTATCTTCAAGCTGTTCATGGAACGGAACCCAGAGTTCAAGGGCAAGGTCCATGTTGTTGGTCATTCCCTCGGCTCGGCCATCATGTTTGATATCTTGTGCCGGCAAAAGGAAAAGCAAAAGACGTTGGAAACCCCCCGGAACCCCCTTCGATTCTGGCCTGCACATGAAAAGGCGGAAGGCCATCGGGATCGAGAAGCCAATGAGTTGCGGTTCGAGTTCGATGTGGAAGATTTCTACTGCCTTGGGTCTCCAGTAGGGTTGTTCCAAATGCTCAAGGGACGGTAAGTGACTGCCGACCTCTTTCTTGAGTACCAGGAGACTGACACAAGTAGGACAATCTCGGCTCGTCATTTACCCAACTCCCGGCCGTCGGAAAGCCCCCTGAACCCAGATTTGATGGACGACCCATTCCTCGCCACGAACCCGGCTTCTCCGACGCATCGTGTTTCCGCGATCACTGGTCTCCCCTATTCAGTCTCGTCTCCAAAGGTGTCGCAGCTTTTCAACGTCTTTCATCCGTCGGATCCGATCAGTTACCGTCTCGAACCCCTGATTTCACCTGCAATGTCGACACTGAAGCCCCAAGTCTTGCCGTACACCAAGAAGGGCATATTTGGCAATGTGGCGCAACAGGGCCTCTCGGGCATCGGTATGAAGGTCGGCCAGAGTGTCAGCGGGCTATGGTCCAGCTTGAGTGCAGGCATAGCAAGCAACATTTTGAATCGCAGCCTCGGTCTCAGCAATGAGGATGTGGCCAAGATGAACTCGGCCAACTCGCCACAGCAGGTTTCAGGAGCAGGCACGAATATTGCAGACAGCGGTGTGATTTCGGATGTGTCGAAGCTTGGGGAAAAGACGAATGAGCGAAAGAAGCAGCTGGCAGACTCCAAAGCCATGATTGGCCGCACCAGTATCAGCGGGAATGAGATGACGCTGATTGACGACGAGCTCGAGACGCTGTACTCCAAGTTCCAGGAGAAGCGGGTAGCAATGGCCAAGACGGACGATGATGGGGGCGCCGCGGACTGGCTTGAGGCAGAGCGTAAGGCGCAGAAGCTGCGGCGGGAGGAGATGAAGGTCCGGGCTCTGAACCGCAACGGGCGTGTCGATTACAGCATTCAAGAGTGAGTATTTGCTTTGTGTCTTTTCTTGAGTACATGCACTAACGGAATATAGGAGCGTTCTCGACTTCAACCCTATGAACACGATTGCGTCGCACATGAGTTACTGGTCTGACGAGGACGTCAGCCATTTCATCCTGTCACAACTACTTTCTAATAGAAGCCGGGCGGAACGAAAGTAGACCTGCCGCAACTTAGACTAGACGTTTGGGGTGGGCGACCTGAGTAATGCAATGGCATTTCACATCCGCAACGTTCTTATTTCGTCACACGTGCTATGAGTGTTTTGCTAGACTGTATGATTCGTCCACGCCAGGCTGGGGTATCTTTTTCGTTCGCATCTCTCTCCACACAACTCAGGCACGCAGAACACCGGCATCAACCAAGGCACCCCAGCGAGCAGGCAAACCCTTGGCCACATCCTCGGCAGTCGTGCCATCCTCAGCCTTGAGCGCACGAATATCCTCGCCAACATCATTGGTCAACCTCACAATCTGCAGACTCTCAGCGACCTCCCTCGCCGCAGCGGGGAACGCATCCGTCGACAACCGCGACGCGATCCACAGAAGCAACCACACCACCTCCTCCTGCGCCCTTTCCACCGCGACGTGCAGCGCGCTCCGGCCGCCGGCGAGCGGGTCCTGGTAGCGGATAAGCTGGCCCAGGGAGTCGACGTTGCCGGCCAGCTCCTCGTTTGCGTCGTGGAGGAGGGCGACGATGCCCTCGAGGTCGCCTTCGGCGGCCATGAGGTGGTATGCGCGGGCTGGGCGGGCTTCTGGGTTGGAGGCGAGGTAGGCTTCTTCTGTGAGGGTGGGGAGGATGTCGAGGGCGTCTTGGAGGCCGCCTTCGTTTACGTAGCGAGTTAGGATTGCGGGTTCGCCGGTGGTTGGGTTTTGGGACGGGAGGTAGGTTGCGCAGGAGGGGCAGGAGAGGGAGAGAGCTGTTTGTTCGGATTGGTCTAGGAGGCATTGCCTTGGTTTTTTTGTTAGTTTGGGTGTGAGAGGGAGGTGGGAGTATGAGTGATGAGAGGTGTGATTGGAGGTGAGAGAGAGATGGGTGAATTACCAGTGAAAGTGGCAGCCACAAGGGAGCTCGAGATCATCGGGGACATTTTGGGGCTCATCGCCGGTTTGGTTGTCTTCGTCTTCGCTGTCTGGGTCGATTGTGATGATGAGGGGGTCCTCGCAGGCTTTGCATGCGGCTGCCATGGCGAATGTGGATGGCGCGGGGCGTGAAGAAGCAGAGAGCTGCTAGGTGATGATAGCCCGGTTCGGCGGTGTCAGAACGTTCAAGACACAATACGGGTGTTTTCAAGAGTATTGGTCGAGATAGCAGAGTTGACGTGAGATTTCTTGCAACAGATGAGTTCGCGATGAAGGTATCGCCACGGAGGATCAGAAAATTCGAGGTGGGGGGGAGGGGTGCGGGGACTGTGCTCACTTGTCAAAAGCACTGTATCACACCGAGAGTATCCTGTCTTTGATACAGTGCATCTACGTCAACCAGTGCTTTACCAGCCAGTGCAGAGCCGGGATCATGATGCATATCTTGCTCAAACTCCCCTGAACCCGGTCGTTCCAGAAGATTGCCTAGAGCGGCCTACGGGCAGTTTGACGGTTGGCAATCTATTTCAAGGCTGGGCGGTCTGGAGAGTACTTTGGGAGCTTAGGCATTCATGGGCCGGAGCAGGGAGGCGTCTAATGAATTGCTCGATAGTCTTAGTGGGAATGGGCAGCAGCTCTACGGATACCTCGAAATGCCTCGTGTGTACTGCCTTCCAGGCTGCTTTCCATAAGCATTATGCAGGGGAAGTCGTCGTGAGGCGAAGCACGTCTAAAAAGTCCCGTCGATGGGGACCCGGCGCTTCGGAAGACTCTCGCCGCTCTCGGGCTGCTGGGAGTCTCGGCCGTGTTGGGGAGCGTCGTGGACCTGCAGAACATGTGTTGCGGTGCCTGGCGAGCCACGCGTGCACGTCGTCGACGGTTTCTATCTGTTGATGACTCGACGTCTTGGCTAAACTTGGTTGTCCCTTACCCAAGGTAGGTAGACATTATGAATCGGGTATGAGGCAGATATGGTAAACGGCAGCCTGAGACTGTCGTACGCTGCGAGACGCAGGACGGCTTACACAGAAAGAAGTAGGTATTCGTACGCGAAACGAGAGCGAGCGGGAAGCCTGGAACGGGGGAGCTTGCCTTACGCAAACCGTTGTGGCTGGTGGCTATTTGGTGATTTTTGTCGGGTACCTCGGGCGTCTGCTTGGGTACGCGGACGGGTAAAGTACCAGCAGCTGGCGTCTTACGGCTACCCGGTTTGTCCGAATCCAAACAGGCTTCCCGCGGTTAGGTACCCTTTTTCTCGCATTGATTCGGGTGGCAGGTCAAGGTACCTCGGATGCTCAGCTTGCTTCAGATGTGTATTCGTGCGGTTAAGCGCCTCTACGTAGTAAGCACTGAGGAATTGGGATGTACCTCTCGCCCCGGTTTGGGCTGTTGGGTACCTATGGGTCCATCAACCTCCTTTCGCGGCCTGCCTCACTCTCGAAGCTGAGGTTTGGTCATGTCCACGACAATAGTCCAGGCTCTCCTAGACCACGTGCTGAACATTGCTTCGCTTCACCAGCGTTGCGTTGGGTACCTAGTGTAGATGTAAAGTCAAGTGTCGTAATGTAAGGCAGCCAAAGTTGAAATCAGGAGGTGAGCATCCATAAGTAAAATGACTTAGGTAATCGGGAGTACATGATCAAAGTATCGGATGGGCGATGGCTGTACAATTACATCAATGGCCCCTCCCCGCCCCCGCCATCGACTTCCCAAGAAAAAAAAGGTACCTACCTACGTACGTCTCGCACATTCCATCCGGACCCATTGCCCCCCTCTTCCCCCCCCCTCCTCGAGGTACCTCGCACTCACAGAGTCACCCCCTTCCGCCTTAACACGCGCATTTCGTACCTCGTCACGGTATAGCGCAGCACAGCATTTTGCACAGCCAGCCCCTATTGCGAGCATACCTTACACAATACCTTACACAGTACCTTAAGGTAGTACGCATAGTACCACACTTACAGTACCTACCTGCTTACCTTGTGCTTGCCTGCCTGAATAAACCTTTTTTTTTTGGCCTTGAACCTGCTTGATTCTTGACACCAAGAAGTACGACCTTGCTTTTAGCCCCGGTTGGCCATCATCATCATCATCACCATCATACCCTCCTCTTCCCCTTTGATTTATTCAACTGGGTTGACAATCATTTCTCCTGACATACAACACCACGACTGCTTCAGGCCACATCCAACAACTGCACAATTGTCCAACCTCTCGAATCCTCCCAAAGACCCTCTTCCCCGTGAGGTACCTACTGCGCCTACTCAGCCAACCTCCGTCAACGTCCGTGCGTTCCGGAGCTTCCTGCGCATCTGCCACTCCCGCTTGGTCCCTGATCAAGTCAAGTGCTTCCAACTTCCTCCTCCGCGCCGAGCGCATTACCCAGAGAGACCCGACTCCCGTCATCCTCTTTCTCTCCACCATCCTCCCCAGCGGTTTCGCTTCCCTCAACCTGCTGTCTTCCCGCATCGTCGCCCCTCTCCCGCGACGCCCAAGAGACGACCACCAACATGAACGTTCTCAAGCTTCAGAGGTGCGTACACAATCGCATTCCCTGCCCCGCACTGCTACGAGCGATTCACTCTCACCAGCACTGCTCAGGGGCTCTGTTCTTGTCCCCATGTTCCGTCCTCCGTCACTAACCAAGTATCCGCCAACAGGAAGTATCCTCAATTCCCGCAAAACGAAATCTTTGGTCTCAGCGACGCATTCCGCAAGCTCGACATTGACGAAAAGGGCTACGTTGACGAAGCCACTGCCATCAAAGCTACTCAGCAGAGCGAGCGCCAACCCTACGATGTCGTACGACAGGCTCTGAAGGAGGTCGACCTCGACTCCTCCCGCAGAGTCGAGCTCGAGGACTATGTCGCCGTAAGCTTGCATAGTTTCCTATGGCCCGCCCCAAATCATGCTAACACCGCGCCGTGCAGCTCATTGCGAAGCTCCGCGAGTCCTCCCCAGCTCAGAAACGCATGTCGACCGGTCCCGGTGGTGCTACCGGCGCATCCATCGTCGCGCAAGCAACTGGAGGCATGGGCCACTCCTCAAAGTCGAGCATCGGCAAGATTCACGTCCAGGGCTCCAACGCCAACGTCACCCACACCATCAACGAAGATGAGCGGACCGAGTTCACTCGTCACATCAACGCCGTCTTGGCCGGTGACACAGACATTGGAAGCCGCCTTCCCTTTCCCACTGACACCTTTGAGATGTTTGACGAGTGCAAGGATGGTTTGGTGCTGGCCAAGCTCATCAACGACAGTGTCGCCGACACCATTGATGAGCGTGTTCTGAACCGACCCAAGAACAAGAAGCAGCTCAACGCTTTCCAGATGACGGAGAACAACAACATCGTCATTGAGTCTTCCAAGGGTATCGGTCTGTCCGTCGTCAACATTGGCAGCGGTGACATCATCGAGGGCAGAGAGCACTTGATTCTCGGTCTGATTTGGCAGATCATCCGCCGTGGTCTTTTGAGCAAGATTGACATTAAGCTGCACCCCGAGCTCTACCGCTTGTTGGAGGACGACGAGACCCTCGAGCAGTTCCTGAGACTCCCTCCCGAACAGATCCTCCTCAGATGGTTCAACTACCATCTCAAGGCCGCTGGCTGGAACAGACGGTAAATACTGAGATACGAGACCAGTTCAAGAAGCATGCTAATTGGCGCAGGGTGAACAACTTCTCTAGTGACATCAAGGACGGCGAGAACTACACGGTACTCTTGGCACAGATCGGCTCCGAATATGGCGCCACGAGAGCCCCTCTCCAAACACGAGACCTTCACCAGCGCGCCGAGGAGATTCTGCAAACCGCCGACAACATGGGATGCCGCAAGTTCCTCACCCCGTCATCTCTGGTCGCCGGTAACCCCAAGCTGAACCTGGCATTCGTTGCCAACCTGTTCAACACCCACCCCGCGCTCGACCCCATCACCGAGGAGGAGAAGCTCGAGGTTGAGGACTTTGACGCCGAAGGAGAGAGAGAGGCCCGTGTGTTTACTCTGTGGCTCAACAGTTTGGACGTGCAGCCTGCTGTGCAATCCTTCTTTGATGATCTGCGCGACGGCACGGTGCTTCTGCAGGCGTACGACAAGGTTATCAAGGGATCCGTCAACTGGCGCCATGTCAACAAGCCACCGGCTCACGGCGGAGAAATGCTTAGGTTCAAGGCGGTCGAGAACACCAACTACGCAATCGAGCTTGGCAAGCAGAACCGCTTCTCTCTTGTGGGCGTCCAGGGTGCAGACATCACCGACGGTCAACGGACCTTGACTCTTGGCTTGGTATGGCAGTTGATGCGCAGAGATATCACTGTCACTCTTTCAACACTGGCGCAGCGTCTTGGCAAGAAGGAGATCACGGACTCGGAGATGGTCAAATGGGCCAATGAAATGTCTCGCAAGGGCGGCAAGTCGTCTGCCATCCGATCCTTCAAGGACCCATCCATCGGCACCGGTGTATTTTTGCTGGACGTGCTCAGCGGTATGAAGAGCAGCTACGTCGACTACGACCTCGTCACCCCCGGTCACACGGACGACGACGCCTACCTCAACGCCAAGCTCAGCATTTCCATTGCGAGAAAGATGGGCGCCACCATTTGGTTGGTGCCGGAGGATATTTGCCAGATTCGCAGCCGCCTGGTGACCACCTTTATCGGTTCTCTCATGGCTACGGCAGAGAAGCAGGGCTTGTGAGATGGTCCGTCTTGACGAATGAAGGTTGTTCTCTTTTTTTTCCGCAACTGATGTTTCTTGTCTATGAGGATAGAAAAAGGCCAAAACTGCGGCGAGGCTTTGATTGTTTGTTTTTTTAGTTGAATGAATCCATTACGAATACCACATACTTTTGGAACCTTGTTTGTTAAGCATGAGTTGACGTAGTCTATGACCTCCATGTATTCGGATGCATGACCTATCCATAACGATGTTGTAACTCTTTGGTGGCCGTTGGTCCCGTGGCCATCCTACTGCAAATCGTGACGAATTGAAACGCATTCCAGTACGGACAAAGACAAACTCCTGGGCTTTATTTAACAATCACAGATCCATCCCGGCCTCGCGGCAACTATTTCTATATGTCACATCACAATATAAGGTACAGACTACACAGCAAACTCGGCCCCGTAAAGATGCCAAACCAAAAAATAATGTTCCCCAACACCTTGCGATCCTTCATCCACCTCGTCCGGCTGAGTTGAACAAGCTATACGCAGTTAGTTACTCGTGTTCTAGAAGAGACATGTACGTGAAGAGGTGTATAATTGGGCAGTTGGGTAACAATGATGAGGGAGGAAACACTAATGTCTGGGGAACAGCATTGAGGTAAAGTCAGACAGACTCCCAACGTACCGGTAGCTGACACATTTGCAAGAACAAGAGATACCCCCTCAGCTTCTTGAACAGACACCACATGACGAGCTCGTGGACGCAGGCGGAGAGGGAAAAGGTGATGAGGGTCGCTGTGTGGCGGTTTACTTTCATGGAGGAGATTGAACTGTGGTAGACGTGTCGGAGGAGGAAGTTGTGGACGGGTCTGTGGGGTGTGTTGTTAGCATTAATTCGAGGTCGTTTCTTTTTCTTTCGTTCCTGTCTTGGGCGTCGTTGAATGGACTAGAAAGAGAGGAACTTACCTGTTCCAGTCGCGGGCGAATTGGTCCCAGGAGACTTTTGGAATGTTAGTGAGTTGAAGGGGATTGGCATCAAAGGTGGAGGGGCAGACGTACCGCTGTTCCACCAAGCGTCGTAGAAGCTTCTGTCGGCAAAGTAGGTGAGTTCTGCGAGGGTGTTGAGGACGGTTTCCCAGATGAGGTACCATGCCATCTTTGCGTCTCGTGTTAGCACCTTGTCTTGTCTCGTCTTTTTAGGGGAACATGGTCTCGCAACGCACCATGTACTCCATCATGAAGGGGAAGATGAGATCGCTGAGCATCCAAGGGAAGTAGCGGAAGCGCTCGGCCAGGGGCATGCCAGTCTCCTTCATGGCGATAGTTTCCATTACGACGGGATCTGACGGGCGTGTTAGTGATAGAACGTCATGTACACCCCAGCGGCGACGACATGATGAGAGGACGCGAAAGTACTCCAATAAAAAAAATAAAAACTAAGGGAACTCACAGATGAAAGCCTGCGACACCATAATCATAACGAGAATGATACCGAATGTCGCTGCTACCTTCTCGGCGACATAGTACCAGTCAATCGACTCGGACCGCGGATACTCGAGCTCGTACACGACCGTCGGGAGAACGATGTACTCGTAGTGGTTCGCGAGCGAGAGGTTATTGGGGTACGCCCGGACGACGCTCGTCGCCTTGCCCCGCAGCTCGTCCGTGATGCCGTCAATCTCCCACTGGATGATGCGCTCAAAGACCCGGACCTGGTCTGCGTCGAGGGGCTGCCCTGACTCGATGGCGCGAGCGATGCGGTCCAGGTCCGTCAGCTGCCGGTGCTGCTCGTCGCCGCCGCCGCCGCCGCCGCCGCCGCCCTTTGACTGGGACTGAGACTGAGACTGGGCCTGCGCTTGGGCGATGGACTGTCTTCGGCCGTGCATCTCGGCCGCAGAGGGCGGGTTGGCGAGGTGGGAGACGGAGACGGTGGAGGCCGAGGGGGTGGTGGAGGAGGGGAACTCGGTGGGCGCGACGTGCTCCAGCTTCTTGAGCTTGGAGAGGAGGTACTTGCGCTTCTTGTAGGCGGAGGAGAGGTAGCCGTTGTAAAAGGCGTACGAGTGCTGCTTCATGAGCATGACGATGCCGTGCAGGACAAAGAAGACGGTGTGCGTCCAGGGCCAGTCGCGGATCAGCGTCAGGCCTATGACGCCGCCGATGAAGGCTGACTGCCAGATCTGGTGGTATGTCAGACATGGCTTCTGCTGAAAAGAGACAATGCTCGCTTACGTTCTGAATGATCCAGCCTGACCTGTCCCAGTCAATGTAGCCGGCAAAGACCAGCCGCTGCAATATCCAGCTGACGCCCGTGATTCCGCACAGGACGCCGTCGGAGGCGAGGAGCACAACAACGTCTCGACGAAACATGGTCTTCATGATTTCGTTTGTACCCAGGGGGTTCCCCGTCGCCCGCCAATTGGTGGCGGCAATCCTGGTGACGAAGAGCGCCACGGTCAGCCAAAAGAGTGTGTAGAAGCCGTGAAAGGGGCTGTTGGCCGTGTTTTGATTCTGCCGGTCAAACGTGGAGAATTGCCGTGTGAAGACGAGGTCGCTGAACTTGCCGGCCCGGCGTGGTCTCTTTGGATCTTTCTCCTATAACTGTGTGTTAGTTGACCAGAAGACGTTGTGCGTGGATGACGACTTACCCTCTCTAAACCTCGTTTGAGAACATCCCGCAACTCGCGGTCATCCGGAGACAGCACGTACGTCTTGAGGCGACCAGATCCATCGCGGAGAGGCTCATCGTCGATACTCGAGGTTTCCGACAGCGTCGAGCCGTCCAATGAGAGCTTCCTCTCACGGGTCGAAGACTTCTTTAGAGGTGATGCGCCGGGGCGGACCGGTGCTCGTCCTTTGCGCGGCCTCGCTGATAGTTTCGGGTCATCGTAGTCCTCTTCGCTCGGGCTCTCCGAAGGTGTTGCCGATGTTGCCCGGCCCGTAGCCCGTAATGCATCGCGGAGTGAATGGGGCTCCGGGGATGCGTCCAATGAGGTTGACATTTCTGCCGGTCTCAAATTCCTTTGACGTGTGTGATGCTAATGCCAGATCATGCAAGAATACGCCTCACTTGAGACGAAATAAGCGCCGTGCGGTGAGTAATGCGCTTCAAGGCGATACCGTCTGTAGAATATTGAGCAGAAGCTCAAACTCAAATAGATAAAAGGAAGCAATAACCGTTTCCCCCTCCCTGACGTATCGTCGAGATGAAAGCGCGAGAGTTGGTTGTATATATGAGTTGACAATGTCACGGTCCTAGATCGATGTAACTACGCAGCCGAGGACCCAAGAACCCGGGAACGAGTCGACTCGCGCGACCGGGATGCGAGTACGAGCGATGGACGGTACGGTACGGAGGGGTTTTGATAATGACTCGGCACGAGTACGAGGCTACGAGTTGTTTCCGCAAAAAGCGGTTGATGGAACAATATGTGCCAAGTAAGCAACACAGATGGTAGTAAAGTGAGAAGGGATGAAACATGAAAACTAGTAGACAGCTGAGGCGAATTAGCGGGCAATGATATAAGACCAGGTCTCCGCCAAGTGATGGATTCTACGGGTCTGCCGGACTCAGATGTCAGTCACGGCGGATCATAAACGCCTCTGCCGTCCTACGAATCCATAGCTGACACGGATGCGAGAGACACGGAAAGATGATCTGAGATTGCAAGACAAAGGCGTTGGCAGGAGGCTCAAGTTCGGCCGAGGTTCCCGGGAGTTTCTTTGGACTCATCGCAGACATGGTACCACAACTTTGCGGCTCGCAGATGGTACGATGAGCAAGAGCCCAGCCCGAGGATTGCGAGGATTGCGAGGTTCCCGTTGGGGAGCTATAGCCTGCCACTCCCGCTTATCCCGCCCAAGGACGGGGAGTCGGGAACTTGGGAGGCGACATCATGTGGGTGGTGCATGTGGGCTCCGATGAAGTCAGGTAAAGTATAAAAATCAAGATAACAGGGGAAAAGAATAGAGAGTGTGCCACGAGCGCGTGGGTGAAGACGGATTGGAATGGTGGTCCTCGCCATCCAGAGTACAGGCGACCCCAGTTGGTAGGTTGCTTGTTTGACGAATAACAGTCCCAATCAAGGGGCAAAAGTAAGAAGAATCTCCATGCACCAAACAGTATCGCATAACACGTGAAAAGGGGAGATCATCGGTAGGTATGAGTACCTCAATGATTGTATGCTAAGGTAAGACACTCGTCTATCCCGAATGTCTCTGGATGTTGCCTCGATTGTCTCGTTTGGCCAGGTAGATGCCGGGGAAGACGTCGTCTTCTTAGTCAGTCTCTGACGTCTTTGTGCAGATGGAAAGGTTGAGTAGCAGGAATTGAGTGAGCAGGTGAGAAAAGTTGTTCCCTTCAAGGGCAACTCGCATCCGAGGAGAATGCAGACCTATACACGTTGCCCAGTATATAGAGTAGAAGTGGGATGTACTCCTCCGTCTTCTCTTTGGCGGTTCTCTAACAGGAAGTCGCATCGTGTGGCCGGAAACGGAGAGACACGCACTCGCATCCGGGCACAGGCCGAGTTCCCCCGTCGGTGCGTTGTCTGGTAATTTTGTCCGGATGATGCTGGGAAGGCAGATGTAGATTTTATGTTGTTGCATTCTAATTCTCGGCGTATTGTTAGGACATTTGCTGAGTAGTGAAGACTTAAACTCTGGCCTGCAGGAAGGAGCTTCGGCATTTCTCGGTGATGGTGAGCGTGTTGGGTCACCTCGGTCACCTTGGAATGTTTGCAAAATAGATTTCCTGTCCTGGTCTGCAATGACATCACTAGCACCCGAATGGGCAGGGTGTACCTGACCTCTCTGTTTTTGGTTAGCTCACCCAAGGTACCTCACCTCAGCAGGGTGGCAGGCACGGCAGAGTTGTTACCTTCCGTTGCTGCTGAGGTGCCGTGGGGGCTTGCTGAAACAGTATCGCAGTGGACGGGAGGCACCTGCCAGCTCACCGCGTTTCGACCTCCCCTGGCCTTCTGGAAGGAGCCACTGTCACTGACTAAGGTAAGTGCGAAGTGCCTTGCCTGGAGCAGTGAAGGAAAGAGGCCCCAGCGGTGTCTGCTACGAACAAAACACCCACCAAACACTGGGTGCCATCCGCTTTACGTAAGCTTTTCTGTGTTGTCCAGCCTCCGAGCGCGGTGCCAACGGACCAACTGACGTCCTTCCACGTCTTTTTTGAGGTGGCCCTGCTCCACCGGTACGTACCGCCAAGCTCAGGTCGTTTCCGTACGCCAAAATCTTTTTGTTGCGCCGGGGCCGATCCGAGCGACCTCTCGTTTCCTCTCCTCCTCCTCCTCCGACCACTTCCATCACCAAACCACCAACGCGCATCTTCTTCCACCTGCTCCCCCCCATCACGAGGCTCTGCTCCATCAGAACCCCGTTTCTTCGTTTCAATCTCCATCGCGAGACACACACTTCTCTCTTACCCTCTGCCTCACTTTTCTTTCAGTCTCTTTCAGTCAAAAGTCAGCATCACCAACATCATGTCGCGCGGTGGCACCACCTTGTACGTGACTGGCTTCAGCCACGGCACTCGCGCCCGAGACCTCGCCTACGAATTCGAACGGTATGTCAACTGAAAATCAGAAACCTCCCACGTCGATGCCTCCGTCCGTCCTGTTTTCCTCCCGGCACGCGAGAGCCTTCCGAGATTTCCGATTCCATCTCTTTCCCTCGCTGCTCCCCGCCCACGCCTCCGTATTCGTCCTCCGCCCGTCCTCCCGCTCTCGCACACGCTGCTCCCAACCTCACGCATCAACCCAAGATGCCTCCCTCGCCCGTACTACGTTTCCGTCCTCGTTCTCGTCCTCGCCCTCCGTCCCCCGTCGATGCGTCCTCTCCTCGTTCGCTTGGGCTGCCTCCTCCCAAACCACCACCCGTTGATCGCGTCGCTGTGGCCTGCCAACGCTCCGTGGCACACCGAACGCAATACAGCTCCCTCTTGCTGCGCCGACGACGGCCGACGTTTGGTCTCTAGCGGAACAAACGGAGAATCCCATGTATGTATCTACGTGCTGACATTCTGACTCGAATATAGCTATGGACACCTTGTCCGCTGCGACATCCCTGCTCCTCGCTCGGCATCCAGCAGATTGTGAGTCCTGTCTCCTCTCGCCTGACCGTTCAGATCTGAGCAAACAACTGACACCATACCAGGTTTGCCTTTGTCGAGTACGAGGACCGCCGCGATGCTGACGATGCTTACCATGAGATGCACAACAAGCGCATCGGTCGCGACGACATCCTGAAGATTGAGGTTAGAAAGTACCGGACGAGATTCTTGAGGCATCTTTGCTGATGCGTTATAGTGGGCTCGCACCCCTCCTTCCGCCTCATGGCGCTTCGACTCTGGTCGCGACCGTGAGCGCGCTCCTCGCCGCTCTTCTCCCCGTCGCGGCCGCTCGCCCTCCCCTCGCCGCAGCACCCGCGACCACTCTCCCAGAAAGGACGACCGCCGGGACCGCGATCGCGACTACGACCGTGGCGACAGACGCGATACCCGCGACCGTTCCCGCAGCCCTGACCGACGGTGTGTTGACTCTCCTAGATCTTTCAAGAATTCCCCCAAAGACTTCCCCTCGGGCCAAGGGCCCCTCAGAAATGCCGAATTTGAACTAGTGATCCTGACTGGTCAGAAGTGATCGAGACGCCAAGGATGACCGCGACGACCGGGAACCCCGTGAGAACGGCACCAATGGTGACGATAGAAAGGGTACGTAAATCGGCAAGAAGGTGTGTAGTAGGCTACGAAGTAGGCTAACACTCTACAACAGCACTGGACAGCCCTCCCCCTGCCCATGACGACCTGGACGTTGCTGCGGAGTGATAAGTATACCTGGCAATTTCTCTTGTCGGGTTGTGCGCGGCTGTGCCAAAAGTTTTTCTGATTTCTCACCCGGTTCTCCTCTCTTTCTCTCTCACCATCTGAATCCTGGATCTTTTAAAGTGTCCTCACCTTCTGGGAGATTTTTAGTCTCGATGCGACCGATCCGGCTTCTTCGAGCTCAGCACACGACACACTGGGCTGCCCGATGTTGGCAGCATCCGAGTCACCAGACACACCTATCCAGACTCGATATCGGCGAGACATACGTTTCGGAAACGATTGCGAAACGACGCGAGGTTTTTGGCGAGGCGGCCTTTTGAAAGCATTACCCCCATTGTAGCTAGAAATTGACATGTAGGTTTTCACAGCAGCTTCCGAGTGTGGCCTAGAGGTGAAATCGAGGCTTTCGGCATGGCCACTTGGTGATGATAATACGTCTGTAATCCCGATCCGTCCTTGCTCAAGGTTCAGGGACATACGACTACTCCTTTAGAGCAAGACGAGGACAGATCAACCCTCTAGAGCAGCACGAGTGATGTAGTCCGTATGTCCATGGGTGCTGCAGCATCAAGTGTACTTCTGAGATGATGATGAGGGTTACGCAGCTGCTTCAATCCGTCTTTGCTTGTTGTGTGCCGCGAATTTTGTAGAAGGCGTGGTAAGATGGAACCAGCTGAAACTGCCTTACCTTGTAACACTAGATGTCCGTACTGGATATTAAACATATGAGTGAAATTGCATCAAGGAGGGCAATGAGAGAATACTGGAATGTCGCTGGGATGTGGTCATGCGCTGGCTATCTTGATTATGTAGGGTTGCGATAGCGAATGCGCTGGAGACGTCAACGAGGTACCTGCTAGAACACCTCCGGAACGTTTGCGATGCGGGGAAAGATGGAGGAGGGCGGGGTGATCTCCGAAGACTAAGGCAGGTAGGTCGGCGTTGATAGGGAGGATCCGGAGGGGTCGGGATGCCGAAGGGAGGGTTTCTCGGTAAACTCGCGCTGATGTGACCCGGGCACCGCCGAGATGGATTTTGGGAGGGGGGGGGGGGGGGGGGGGGGGCAAAGAAGGAGGCACTGCCGGGCTTGACTTGTCGGAATTGGCGGTAGTTCTTGGAATACTTTGCTCAGGCAGGATTGGCGGTGTTGAATGTATAGTGGAACAGGAAGTTCGGGAAGGTTATCAATGTTTGGGCACTTGGGCGCGTTGCAGGAACACATAATGTATGGTTGTGCCGATGGGATGTGGCTGTACCTGTACTATCATTCTGAGTACGGAGTATCCGTATGGGAAGAGATACTAATATGACAAGAGTTCCCGGATACCAAGAATCACATTGTGGTCATTTGTCTTGTGAGCCTGTCGTCTTCTTGGGTGTTGAAGCCGGGTTCCCCGTTTTCCCCCAGATTGTCGTCATGGGAGTGGAGTTCAAAGTGAGGAGAGCAACCAGGCCGGAGAGCACTCCATCCACTCAGAAGAAGAAAGATTGTGATTTCAAGAAGAGGGAAGGAGAGGAAGGGTAATCGTTGAGTGAAATCGAGCTACTTTGTTCCGGTACCTGACATCATTTCCGGTATGGTTTTGACGGGTGCTAAGATAAGGTATCGGCGGATAAAGATCACGCCGTGGTTGGTTTCCAGTCTTCAGGTTGTAAGAGGAAACCGTCTCTGGAGGGACAAGTAGAGGTACCGAGTGCGAGGTACACATTCCGAGGTTCCTCAGATGTGGTGACCGACGGACACTTTCCGTCACCAGAGCCGAGCCAGCGGGAAGCTGGCAGGTGAGCCACAGCCGCTGTAGCCAGTGGGGCCTTCTGAGAGACTACCTTTGGTGAGGTCTATGCTCTCATGCTCCCTACGCAGCACCTAAAAACTGCCCGCTTTAGGCTGCCAACTGCCCTGCAGCCGTCCCGGCATCTCCAGCTTTTGGTCATCTCCAGGTCAGATTTGGAGTCAGGTACCTCTCCCTAAGTATCCATACCCCAAGTCCGAAGTACCCCGTCGAGGCTCCAAGCAGCCTCTGAACTTCCACCTTCCGTCTGGGAGGGAGCTGAAATTCGATCTGCGTCGTTGGGATCTGGTCACTGCGTCTGCCCCTTCACCAACCAGCTAATTCGTTCCTCGCGACCTCCAGCTCTTCCTCACACCTCACCCCCTCGACGACCTGTCAACGCATCCAAAGACCAAAGGTCTCGGCGCAAAAGCTCCAAGCTTGTCGAGCTCCCCTCCTAGACGTTACGCGCCTTTTGTCAATTACGCCGCCCCTCACCTTCCGTCTCGTCGCCATTCCTCCTACCCGTCGACCGAACCGACTTCGTTCTTGCGGCAACACCTCCAACCCTCGACCTCTACCTCTGTCTGCCCTTCTCGATCAGAGGGTTTCTCGCACGCGCATCCCTCGACACGACCCTCGTCTCTCTCGTACCAAAACATCAATTCGTAGAGCATTCATTTACCACCGTCCGCCCGAGTCGAAGCGCCTTCCCCCTGCCATACCCTCTTGTCATTGTCAGCTTAGCCGCGGCACATGGGAGATACCCTCGTCCAAAACCAGCAACCCAAAAAAACCCGCGATACACACGACCACCTTCCAGCCGCACCAGCTCGCGGCCAAGAGACACCTTTGATGCTCGAAACCCTCTCCTCTACATCTATCGTCCACTCGACTATGCCTTCGTTGTCGTTACCATTCTTCTTTTAGAATCTCTGAATCTTTTTTTCTTTGGACTTTTTGGGTCATTCTTTTTCCCCCTCGAGCATACTTCCTCCCCCCCTTCAGCGCTCCTTCTCGTTCCTCCAGAAAGTCGCAAAACTCATCGAGCACCACGAATTCTTTCCGCCTCCCGCCCTCAACAGCCTTAAATGCAAGCACAGTCATAGCAATAAGGTGGCTTCGGAGGTTCAGCAGTGTGGTTGTCAATCACGAGTCTTGTGCTTGCAATAACACACTCACCCGCACTGCTCCTTGACCAGAGTCTGAAGTCATGTCGCCTGTAAGTGCTACCAGCTCCAACCTGCTGCATTCCCTAATGTTCTTCCTGCCCTATTATATCACTCTGCTCGGCGATTTGGCAGTTCTTTTTCCAACAGGAAATCAACAATTAGCTAACACCCAGTCCGCTCTTGCAGTCTCTCAACGATGCGGCTGTCCCTGCTGCTGCTGCTGCCCCGGGCCCAGCTCCGGCCCCTGTCAAGTACCTCTGGCTTCGCGATACCGTTTCACAGCCCGTTGTTGCTGCTTTCTGCGCTGGCGGTGCTGCTGGTGCCGTCTCTCGAACCGTCGTCTCCCCTCTCGAGCGCCTCAAGATCCTGTTCCAGGTTCAGAGCGTAGGACGAGATGCCTACAAGCTGTCCGTAGGCCAAGGTCTGGCCAAGATGTGGAGGGAAGAAGGCTGGAGAGGCTTCATGGCAGGCAATGGCACCAACTGTGTGCGCATTGTGCCATACTCTGCTGTTCAGTTCGGCAGTTACAACTTCTACAAGCGGGTGAGTGTCATGCGCCATTGATCACCTTGTGCTGGTTACAAAATGTGGCTCGCATGAGCTGGTGTGAAAGTAACCAAGGCTAATGCGGCACAACTCACAGAACTTCTTTGAAAAGACCCCTGGTGCAGACCTCTCTCCTCTCGCCCGTCTGACATGTGGTGGTATCGCTGGTATCACTTCCGTCTTCTGCACATACCCCCTCGACATCGTTCGCACTCGACTGTCCATCCAGACTGCTTCCTTTGCGGAGCTGGGTCCCAAGGCCGAGAAACTCCCGGGCATGTGGACTGTCATGGCCACCATGTACAAGACGGAGGGCGGTGTCTCTGCCCTGTACCGTGGCATCATCCCCACTGTCGCTGGTGTTGCCCCCTACGTGAGTGGTATCGAATTGAGTTGACATGAGCGCTTGACTCTAACTTGACAAAACAGGTTGGCCTCAACTTCATGGTCTACGAGTATGTTCGCAAGTATCTGACCCCCGAGGGTGACAAGAACCCCAGCGCTGTCAGGAAGCTACTTGCTGGTGCCATCTCTGGAGCTGTCGCTCAGACCTGCACTTATCCCTTGTGAGTCGACATGGTTGACACGAGGCATTGTTCCTCCTGCTAACAGACATAGCGACGTCCTTCGCCGAAGATTCCAGATCAACACCATGACGGGCATGGGCTACCAGTACAAGGGCATTACTGACGCTATCCGGGTTATCGTTGCCCAGGAGGGCATCAAGGGCCTGTACAAGGGCATCGTCCCTAACCTCCTCAAGGTTGCGCCAAGCATGGCATCCAGCTGGCTCAGTTTTGAGCTGACACGCGATTTCTTGGTCTCCCTTAAGCCCGAGGGCGACGATGAGGCTGCTCTCTGAGACGAGATGAAGCTCAAATTACTTTATGCATGTCCGGCCGGGCTTAATCAAAGGCCCTTCCGGTACAGAGATGACAAAGCTCCTCAGAATCGATGATGGGGATGCCTTTATTAGAAAGTGGCTGGCATAACAGTCACATCGAGGCAGAGAAACTGCCTCTCCCCGGGTTGTACTTTTCCAACCTGGCATTTCAATCACCAGTGTTTTGATAATGTATTACAACAAGACAGGCGGGGGACATTATGGGGTTTGCCTGCATGGCATCATGGAAACGTGAAACTGGGCACCTCTTTCCCAGAAGGATGAATGCACAAAGAACCAAATAAGGTAGGTAGACCAAGCATTAGCTCAATACAAGACATGGATCGAGCTCACAAGATTGTTCCTGATGTGCTGGTGACAGGGGAATGGTTTTATTTTCTTTTGATGCCCATTGAAAGTATCAACTTAGAAGTCAATAAGGAGAGCCTCTGTTTCATCCTAGACTCTTTGCCATTCATCTCTTTGTGATAATTTCTCCAGCCATGTCCCCATGTCGCCATGCCTGCCAATCTGACCTTGACCGAAAAAAGACATCCGGGCTCACCGAGGTTGACCGAAGTAACAGGGGTCCCTGCAGACTTTCCATAGACTGGGGCCTGTGCAGGTCCACCGTTCAGCAAGGTAGGAGCCCCCCGCTGGAAGAGACGGACCCACCGGAAAATTTATTGATCCACTCGACCTTGATTGCAGTTGCCCTAAAGCCCACACAGCCCGATTTTTCCGCCTGGCGAGAGCGTAATTCTAGTGTGGCCCGGCGGAAATCTTTTGAAAGTTTCTCTTTTACACCGACGACGACAACATCACGGCCGCCCATTTGACTCAATTCGCCAACTTCGGGAGTCTATCGACAAAATGGGTACGTAGGAATATCCCATTTCAAGCCTTTACATGCGAGTGGAATTGTGCAACGCGCGGTCCTTTGCGTCTGTGAATGTCCCAGTCGAAAGATTAGGACATCACGAGAGATGAACTGGATTCTCCGTTGCCCTTTCTGCGAACTTGGCGCGGCAAAAGGAAAAGGAATCCTCTCCTCACCACCAGATGATGCTCTCGTCTCTACTCCTGCGCTCTGCGGGGAGAGTTTAGATTCGACTTAGAGCTCGTCTCATCGTGGTCGACGGATGATGGACTTTTCCTGCCTGCATTCAGAGCATGCTTGAACCAAAAGGCTGACGATTGGGCTCTTCACCCCCGTTTATAGGTATCGATCTCGACCGCCACCACGTGCGCAGCACGCACCGCAAGGCTCCCAAGAGCGACAATGTGTACCTCAAGCTTCTCGTGAAGCTGTACCGCTTCTTGACCCGTACGTTTTTTCCTCGACTTCAAATCTAGAGAAAAGAAAAACAAATGCTAACCTACGACAGGTCGCACCGACTCCAGCTTCAACAAGGTCATCCTGCGCCGTCTCTTCATGTCGCGCATCAACCGCCCTCCCGTCTCCATCTCCCGCATTGTCGGCAACCTTGACAAGGAGGACAAGCGCACCGTCGTCATCGTCGGTACCGTCACTGACGACAACCGTCTCCTGACCGTCCCCAAGTTGACCGTCGCTGCTCTGCGCTTCACCGCCACCGCCCGCGCTCGCATCACCGCGGCCGGCGGCGAGGCCATCACCCTCGACCAGCTTGCCCTCCGCGCTCCCACCGGTGGCAACACCCTCCTCCTCCGCGGACCCAAGAACTCCCGTGAGGCCTTCAAGCACTTCGGCATGGGTCCCCACAAGCACAAGGTACGATCACACTTCCGATCCTGGCTCAAGTCCCAGGAAAATGGTACGAGAACAGCACTAACACCCTCTGCAGAAGCCCTACGTCGAGTCCAAGGGCCGCAAGTTCGAGAAGGCCCGTGGTCGCAGAAGGTCCCGCGGTTTCAAGGTCTAAGCGTTGGTGGTATCCTCCATCATTGCTGCGATCTTTTACACTCTGGGGTTCGGTCGTGCGTGACTTGCTCGCGCCGATTGAACAAAAACAACAACGCTATTACAAGATGGGGTGGCTTGGGGTTGAGATATCCCCTGCGTCTCTTGTCCTGCTTTACAGGGAACACTTTTTTCTGCATGGTATGGCGTGGTTAGGTATCCAAAAAGAAGAATTGACGACTACAAACCTCTCTTCATGGCGTCGAATGGCATCTCTTGGGCTTGGGTTTTTTTACCACTTTCATACTGGACTTGCCCCTCTTCTGTGACTTGCATGTGTGATGGTGTGTCTGATGAAGCATGGTCCTTGTGAGCCTGTGCCATTTCTCAGTGTCAACAGACTAAAACGGCTTGATCGGGGGAGACGAGCCTCGAACCCAGTATATGCCGCTCCGTAGAGGCATGCCCACTTGCCGATAAATACTTCGCACTAGATAGTCCTATGAGTCCCGCTGCACGTAACCACGAAAAACTGCTGTCGTCAATGCTCAATCTTCCTTTCCATCTTCACCCTGCATCACGCTCTAGCCTCTATCCAGTCCCAATGTACATGATGTTATGAAGCCATTGCAAGCGTTCAATAACCATAGAGACTACAAGGCGATGTGCTTCATATGCCCAAAGTGTACCCGTCCTTCCCTTCGACCCCCCCCCCCCGCGCGCGCGCGGGGATCTTTCGTCGATGGAGGTATCTCATCAGTCCTGAATCGACCACACAACTCTGACCCGCGTGTAACTACCGGTGATACAACAACGTAGTTGTTCCGGGTTTGAAAGTAGTTGAGATAAATTCGTAAATGGTTGCCGGGTGATTCTCTTCGCAGCAAAAAATAAACCAACTAAACCAAAGCACCTTCCGCGGCAAACATTTCATTTTCGAACCGTTTAAGAACAGAGATATCTCCTCGTCTCAAGGGTCTCAATTGTCAGGCATCTTAGGAAGATTTCCGGAAATTATTTGCTGCCACTCTTGTCTATCTAATGTATGCCCGCCAAATATTGTACAATTTTATAAAACAAAGCGGTCTCGGGGACATGTCTAGGGAGTGCTTCTGCTCATACTACCATCAAGAATCAAACTCGTCGCTCGATATCAGCGTTACTCGTGTTCGATAGCATTGGCTATGGCTCATCCGGAGTCCCGAAGGCTTCATAAGCCATCGAGAGGCTATCAAGTCTTGTGCATTTCTTCTGTGCCCTCTTATATGCTTGGTCGACAATGCTATCTACTCGAGTGTCTGGCGTCATATTTGGGGCCGTGGTGTACCCTTACGGGTAGTCTCGCCTGTTGTTTCCTAGTCGTTACTCTGCACCTTCACCACGAAATACAAAGCCCAAGGTAGAGTCGATTCTTAGATCCGAGAGATTATTACGTGTCACGAGAAATTCGCGCATCAAGGATCATCCGTTCGGCGATAAACGCTATCAGATGCGAAATACTGCTCGTAAGCCCCCTGAATACGTCTCACGTTGACTGTAGCGCATCAATAAAGGTCTTGGACTTGGAAGACCACTCTCCTTCGTTGCGTCAACTTGATAGCTCACTTACAATCTTCACGTAAACGGGAGGGAAGGGATCAAACCTTAACCTGAGAGTTCTCGACTCTTGGTGAAATCAACCACATCTCCTCGAGACTGATCGCCGCGATGTGCTTGGCGCAAGTTCGGACTAAGAAGGATCGAGGACTCTGAGGCACTCATATTCCATGGGAGGCGGGTGATTCTGCCGGATCGTGTTACTTTTCAGCAGGTTGAGACATGAATAGTATGTGAGCGCAGAATCATGACACGGGATGATCAGTATACGACGAACGTCAACGAACCAGAGCTTACTGAATGTTGCCTAGCTGAAGTCTTTTCTCTGATTTCCCCATCTCCCTCCCCCTTGTGATACTGACGTAAGAAAGACTATCTAACGCGGGAATTAATACTGTTCCTTCTAGGGGGGTACGCCGTTTTTTCTTTTTGTTAGCATGCAAGCACGCACTGGCATCTCGGGTGTAACCCAATGTTTTCCAAGCGGCGGCGATAAGACAGTACACAGAGAACGAAGAAAACACGATGCTTCACTTCCCTCATCTCAGACCACGGGAAGTAAGGGGGTTGATGTTGGTCAAGGTTCTTCCATCCGAGTCTTGCAAATCCGAGGTCCTGTACTGAGAGAAATTATGACCCGCCTGACAGTCCTCTGGTGATGAGTTCGATTCGAAGTCCTTGATTTTAAATGGAAGCGGACGGGACTCAAGTAACCATCATTCTGCGTTGGCGGTTGCTTTCTCTCTTTTCTCGGTGGTTATGCTCGAGGCTGTATTTGCCGTATGATCTAGATAACTATAAGGACTTACTAGAGAGAAGAGAGAAAATACCCGAGGCATACCTTAGGTACAAATCTCACTTTCTTGGTTTTCGTGCAAAACTACCTCAGCCAAATATTCCCTCGATTGCTAAACTCGTAAAATGACGACCTTGATCTGAACACAAAACAAAGCAAAAAGAAGGACTAGACGAAAAAACAGAGTAGAAAAGTGTGGGTCACAAACTGAGGCAGTTACGGGCAAGGAGCTCCCCTTCTTAGGCACCTTAACTAGATGGAAGAAGAAAGGACCGTATGTGAGTGTCTTTTCCTTCCATATTGACACAACCGCTGTGTAAGAGGCAAGTGGCTGAGGGGGTGAAGAGGTGCCAGTGGAATCCATTCTTCCCTGACCACCCATACTTGACCTTCGCTTCGCTTTTAATTCAATTCACTACTGGCGATTTCTTTCCTCCCTCCCTTCATTTGTATAGCATCTATGCGGCGTGGCGGTACTCCGATGCATGTGACGTTGAGAAGGAGAGGGATCGTGCTCTGCAACGGTGCCATCGCATGTGTCGAATGCCAACAAGGACTGGATTATCTTCTCTCTGCCGTTTCCACTCTTTAAATAGATGTTAAGATGACATTGTCTTTACGATAAGAGGCTTATGTACCAGGTGGCTCATCCCAAGTCTCACTAGGTATGTTCACGGACATGGCGCCTCGTCAGTGCCAAGAGCTGCCGTCGACTCTCAGACTTAAATGTCCGTCCTACCTGTCGAGTTACTGTAGTCTGCTTTTTGGTCTTGAGAACCTTTACTGATTGACGAGCAACAATTTCATAAATGTAAGAGCAAGAGGAACGGGTCCATGTGTTGTGAACAGTCAATGAAGTCAATTATTGCCACCACCGTTGTGTTGCCAGTCACTCACGGCCCGATGCAAACCACAGGAACGAAAACACCAAATTTTGTTGGAGCTCATGAACTCATTGAACGACTATGGCTAACGTTAAAGGAAACAGGAGGTAATATCCGTTGTCTAAGATCGTACAGTCTACAGGGAGGGGTAGTAGGTATCTACAACTTGGAAATGATGGCGCCGGCAAACTCGCCAGTCTTGGCCTTGCCGCCAAGGTCGCCGGTGAGGGCCTTTCCTTCCGCGAGGGTATCAAAAGCGGCCTTCTCGATTCTGTCGGCGTACTCGCCGAGGCTCATGTGTCTCAGCATCATCATGGAGCTGAGGAGCAGGGCGGTGGGGTTGGCCAGGCCCTTGCCGGCAATGTCGGGGGCGGAGCCGTGGACGGCCTCGAAGATGGAGCACTCGTCGCCAATGTTGCCAGAGGGGGTGAGGCCGAGACCGCCAATGAGACCGGCGCACATGTCGGAGAGAATGTCACCGTACAGGTTGGGCATGACGAGGACCTTGTCGTTGTAGGGGAGGGGGTCGGTGACCATCTTCAGGCAGGTGTTGTCGAGGAGCTCGGCGTCGAACTCGATCTCGGGGAAGTCCTTGGCGACGTCGCGGGCCGTCTTGAGGAAGAGACCGTCGGACATCTTCATGATGGTGGCCTTGTGGACGACGCGGACCTTCTTGCGGCCAATCTCCTGGGCCTGCTGGAAGGCGAAGCGGAGGACGCGCTCGGAAGCCTCGCGGGTGATGAGCTTGATGGACTGGACGACGCCGTCGACGACGACGTGCTCAATGCCGGAGTATTCACCCTCAGTGTTCTCACGGATAAGGACGGTGTCGACGTTGTCGTAGGGGGTCTTGTAGCCGGCGACCGATCGGCAGGGACGGAGGTTGGCGAACAGGTTGAAGGTACGGCGGAGAGTCAGGTTGAGGGAGACGTGGCCCTTGCCAATGGGGGTCTACATGGTCACGTTAAAATGGGCCGAAGGGGCTGGTTGTCGGTGGAAACATACGGCGAGGGGTCCCTTGAGGGCGACCTTGTTGCGCTTGATACTCTCGATGGCTGCATCGGGGATGGCGGTCTTGCCGTCCTTGAGAATGGGGGTGACATCGACGGGCTCCCAGGTAACGGGGGCCTTGGCCGCGGCAAAAATGTCCTTGACGGCCTGGGAGATCTCGGGACCGATACCGTCACCCTCGATCAAAGAGACAGGGTAGTTGCCCTGTAAGACTGGTGGTTAGTTTTGTTTTGAAGTCGTCTCGACGTTGTAGGTTTTTGAGCATCGCCAATTGAGTGATTTTGGCCTGCGCAAAGAGCCGACTCAGGCTTTGTTGCTGCTCGAGTACTCGTCTATCTGCACATGACGAGTGACGTCTGTGTCCAAGAGCAGAGGAAGAAGTTCCATGTCGAGGTTGGGTGCGCCAGCAACAACAAAGCCGAGGTCTTTACTTTGCGCGTAAAATTTTATGGGGCGGGTAGTAACGGAGGAGGGAAAGGCATACGTTGGAGTCCTTGACACCGTGGAACTTGGCGACACGCTCGCTCGAGTAGAATCTGGAGTTCTATACAGTTGTTAGCAATTGGTCCAATTTGAATGGCTGGCCTGCAGGCGAGGCCCTGCACGTGGGCATCGTCGAATCGTCCCCGGCGGGCGGGCGGGATCGCGGGACAGTAAGGAACAGGATGAATTGCGCGCACCTGGAACTGAGAGACGGCGGCGGCGCGGGGAGCGGCGCGCATGGCCTGCTGCCGGAGAGGCGCAG